CGTCCCGACAGCGCGCGCAGCCCGCACCGCACGCCGCGCCTCGTCGCGTTTCCGCCCCCTGAGCCGCTTCAGTTCCTCCAGGTGGCGTGCGTGCTTGGCGCGCGTCGCCGCGGCGACGGAACGACGCGCGTCTCCGACGGTGGCGAGGCGCTCTTCCAGTTTCGCGATGATCTCGGCGGAAAGCGAGCGGTTCACCGACGGCCACTCGAAGCCGAACGGATTGCGTATTGACAACTTGATGGTCTTCGGCGTCCATCTGCTTCCCTTCAGCGAGTGCGACAGCTGCCGCGGCGTGAGGGTCGGTGCAGACGCCATGTCTCACACTAGAAAGCTCCGAGCGATAGTGAGTTTGTACGCCGAGCAGCAGCTGTTCATATGCTAGGTGAAAGTTAGTTTGTACACTCGGGAAAAGTTACTCGTATGCCGAGTGAATGTTCGTTCATACACAGAGCAAAAGCTGTCCGTATGGTGAGTCAAAGCTCGTTCATACACAGAACATAAGCTGTTCGTATGCTGAGTCAAAGCTCGTTCATAGACAAAGCAAAAGCTGTTCCTACGTTGAGTGAAAGTCCGTTCATACACCGAGTGAAAGCTGTTCGTTCGCCCAGCGAAAACTCTCACCACATTGTTTCTGGGCTGGCTTTATACAACAGGTACTCATCCAACTTGAAATAGGAAATCTCTGTCTCGTTCTCTGAGGAAAAACAACAGAGAGAGAGAACTTTTTGATGCCACTTTCAGTATTTTCTCATGGCGTATGATACCCTTTGTGGTAGTCCCTAAATATTGGACATAGCATGGATGACAGACACATAAATTCATGCACAAATTAAATAAATGCTTCTATCGTTTTCCCTCGGAAATCAGCTGTATGCACGCTAGTCAATATACAAACAAAGTTACAAAATCTGCTGTAAAAACCAGTCCTCTATTAGTATTACATGCAAAGGATGTAATAGTGGATTAGTTGATCTAGGAATTATATATTGCTTGTTTTGTAATTTGACTAACATGCAAATAACTGATACCGTAAATACTAGTAAGAAAATGCACAATGCGATGAATGTAACCTCTAGTATGTATTAATATCCTAAATTTTGTTTATGATTATACCTATTTGACTCTTTCTCAAGGTATCCTCATCTGACACTATGAGGGACTCGTCTCCAATGTTTATCACTGGATTACTTGTCTGGAATGATTTGTAAATCTTAGTATAACTATATCATGATATTGCCCATGCAGCAAAGTAAAACTGTATTAATCAACTATAATTATTTAAGAATTGTGAGGTCATACATATTACAAATTATAAATATATTGCAGCTTTAAAGAGGGTTTGTATACCTTAGCACCATGAGCTTTGTAAAGAATCTTCATAGTATCTGAAATTTAATAATAATGTAGGATTAGAACTTTTTTCTTTCTTTTTTTTTGTCTTTTTTAAGACCGAACAAACGGTTTTCAACCGAGTATAGTTTAGAACCCGTCCCGTGTATTCATCGATCTCTTCTGTGAATTTGGCGCTATTTGGATCCAAACTGACGGAGCCTTTCATTAACATACATACATACATACAACATTTGCCAAATTATAGTAAGATTATAATCATCTGTCATTATTAACCCCTGATGCTATCGAATGTCTGCTGTTTCGTTTCTAGAGGGGCGATGGAATCGTACGTTCAAAGTGTGAAGAGTAGGCAAGGCAAGGAATTTGCGTCAGTCTATCCAGTGATGGTGGAGCTGCTGAACAAAGGACTTCAGCAGACGTGATGATGTCCATGGTGTGCCGATCGCTGTCTGCTACCGTGTACAGACTCGGCGGTCTTTGCGTACACCCGCTCGAAATTTACAATCGTGTATTTCATGTCAATAGATTATGGTAATGGGGTTTATATTGAAGGTATGATGAATGATCCTTTCCAGTAATACTGTGATAGCAGTCGTCAGTCTTCTTAAGGTGGCAGACCTATATGCAGGGCGTATAATTAGGATATGTACACCACTAGGTCAAAATCATTTCACACGAACAACTTGTGTCTCAAACTACGGAGGAGAGCTTGGATGTCTATTCATCTGTGGAGCTGGTTATAGATAAAATAATATCATATAAATTCATGTTAAATTTACCATTTTATGGATGTCAGAGCCACGTTTCAAGCAGAATTTATATCAGCACTGATCATCGTAATTCCTTCTCTGATTGCAAGTACGATATTGCTAATAAATTGATGTTGTACCAAGACACTAAGGATTAAACATATATTTGTTAGCCACCAGCCATCTGGTTAAGTTGGTGCCAATTTGTATGCGACTTTCACTCGCTTGGGTATTCCCCCCTGCCATGGTGGGTGAGGAGGCATGGATTTTTTGCTCTGACATAATATCACTTCTATATCATTTTAAATAATATTTACTAAAGACTTTTATCAGAAGATCAACAGAATCTTGTTGAAACATTATTTCAGAACCATTGTATTATATTCTTCACCCACACACAATCTTTTACAAAATCTCTTTTCATCGTATATATTTAATTGGGTATACACAATGGGAATACATCATATTAGCATTATAATGAAACCAGATAAGGATATCCGTTTTAAATTCCATCCACAGCTAAGGACGCTTACCAGTAATTAATCTGTAATCGCATGGCGGCTTTACTAAATAACAAGTACCTAGGGAATTGCTACTATTTTTTGCGATTTAATTCTAGCTAACACGAGAAGTTGATAAAATCTTGCGCTGGTATTTTAAATATTGATTAAATTTAGTAAATCAGTTTGATCAGCAGACGGTGCCGTAAACCTGAAGGTTTAATTACTTTAACTGCTGCAGTTTCTTCGCCTGTTTTTCCGCTTGCTTGCGTTTCTTCACCGCACTAGCGAGCGTGTAGCGTGTAGGCTTTTTCTTGTTCTTCTTGTCTCCGCGAAACACTGCCATGTTCATGTCGACCGGTATGTACATCTCCTGCTTCCCCTTCCGCTCCTTCGTCTGCGTACGCTTCTTCCGCTTCTGCGTCTGTTCGACGACCTTCTGCCGCTTCGTCTGCTTCTCGCCGTCGTTAACGTCTCCCGACTTCCGCTTCGGAGACGAATTCCCATCGGTGGTGGTGGCGGCAGTAGCGTCAGGCGCACGGGAGCCCTGCGACGCGCCGTCCTCACCTACCCTGACGTACAGGTGGCTGTAGTCGTGT